GGGTGGGTGGGGGCTGCACAGTGACAGTTGGGGGGGGAGCCTGGAGCCTGAGGGAGTGGGGGGGGTTGCACAGTGACAGCTGGGAGGGTGCAGGCCTGGGTGAATGGGAGTCCATAGTGAGGTCTGGCGGTGGGGAACCTGAGGCCTAAGAAGGGGTTAGCACAGTGACAGCTGGGGAGTGCCCGGGGTTTTGGGGGCAGGCTGCACAATGGGAGCTGGGGAATGCACCCCCTGGGAGCAGAGGGTGATGACCAGTGAGATCAGGTGCTTGCTGTGGGGTGGTGGTGGGAATAAACTTTGGACCGTAAGTAAGAGCGCTTTAAAATCCTAAAGCAAAAGAATGGTTCCCCAGGGCTGTTCAAGTGTCAGAACTGGCATTTTGATTCATGGGGACTCCCCAGAGTGACTGTGGGGATGTCTAAAGTATCAAGATTGCTGCTGGCTTTATAGTTAAGGATGTTGAGAGGCAGGTAATTGGCGAATCGTGTAGTCAATAGAATTTTTATTGACTGCGTGATTATTCAATAAGGGAAGGTGCTCAGTCCTGGCCTACACTGGGTCCAGGAGCTACCTGTGCTGTGGCTCTGCAGTTTAAATGTAGTAGGAGCCAGGCTGCCTCCCCATCTGGCTCTTAATACATTTAAACTGCAGAGCTGCAGAGGGGGTAGGTCCCAGACCTGGCACAAGCAGCTGGGACTGAGCAGGGCTGCCTGCCTGGCCAGAGCAGCCCCTGTCCATGGTGGCTTAAACTGGCCACAGGCAGAGGCAGCTCCAGCAGCAGCCCTATCTTTGGGGGATCCCTAGGGGAGAGGCAGGGGAGTCTGCTGCCCCAGGCAGAGGCTATGACCAGAGGCTCCCCTCTGGGAGCCCCCCCACCCCCCGTGGACAGGGGCTACTGCTAGAGCAGCCTCTGCCTGTGGCCTGCGCAGGCCACTCTGGACAGGGGCTGTTTTGCCTCCCCCATGGTGTTGTCTCTCACAGAGGCAGCAATATTTATAGTGGAATTTACATTTCTCATTTCCAAAAGCTTTTAGGTGGCAGTGCATGCCCTTTTATTTTGACAAGAGCCTTATGTGTGGGGGGGGGGGGGGGGGGGAGTTTTGTCAGGAGGACTGTCAGTTAATATTGAGTTACTAGAAAAGCTCTCCTTCTGGCAAGGGTCTTTTGCAAGGATTGCCTTTCCCTCCTGTCCTCCCTCTTTACACTTTTGAGCTCTAGCACTGATGCTGAGGATTAAATATATACACTAGAATTGATTTTGGAAGCTGTTTTGACTTACATTTATTTATTGACTTTGTATTCAGCAAGTTGCTACTGTTTAGCTATTTGACAGTTTGCATTTGGGTTGGCTTTTAGAGTAGCAGCTCTTGACATATAACTACTGTACCACTCATTCCCAGGGGATGTGAGGGATTTTTGTTTTTCATCTATGGGGTTTAAGAAACTGGTGGACAAGAATTTGAGATTGAAAGCATATTGATATTTCCTATATTGTATAGGTAGTCTGAGGAAGAGATCTTTATGGGTGCCTTAGAATGACCTTAACTTTTATTTTTCCTATTTCAGGCAGTAGATGATTTGTTGCGTTGTGGGATATGCTTTGATTACTTTGATATTGCAATGATCATACCACAGTGTTCACATAACTGTAAGTATAGCAGAATTTTTAAGAGTGTGTTAATATAGCCCTTCCTGGTGCCTGACGCTCATTCCATCCTGTCATCTCTTCTGTTAGCTTCTTAGGCCCTGATTCTACTCTGGTCTTTTTGGGGTGGGCCAGACTGCCTGGCTCCAATCCCAGCCCCAACCTTGTTGCGCCTGGGGAAGCCTGGCCTCAGAGCTGCCACAGTGCGGAGATGTGCTCTTCCCCCCCAGCCCACGTGCTGCTGAGAGGAAAGCCTTCACTCCAAACCCGACCCCACCCCATAGCCTGTACTGCCAGTTTAACCAATTGGAGCCTTCACACCCTTGCATCACAGTGTTGTACTCCAGCCATCTGTCCCATGCTTGAACCCCCTTCTCACACTGTGAACCATGTGCCTCCTTCTCTGCCCCTCCCCCCAGTTCATGAATTTTGTTATGTGCATCAATATGAAGGCGATGTATTATTGCACATCACCTTCATCTTGGTGCACTTAACAAAATTCATTTTTCTCTGGGATAGGAAAAATTAGAGGGAACATAGGTGGAGAGGATTACTTTAATTTGGGTCTGCGTTGCAGTCTGAATGCCGCCAGGCTGTTACTACATTTAAAATGCAGAGGAGTAGCGTCCCAGAACAGCATGAGCAGGGGATGTTCTGTCCTGGCTTGTGCTGAGACCCTCTGTTTGTGGTGGCCAGCCCTGTCTGCTGCAAACAGAGGCTGCTCTGGCTGGGCGGCAGCAGCCCCTGTCCGTGGCGGGGCCCAGCTTCTGCTTATCGGGTAGTCAACTACTTGCTAACATCCCTAGTTTTGGGCAGATATAGTTGGATTTGAATCATTGCTATAAAAGGAATGGAGAGCTCTCATTGCCACGTGAAGTAATTTCCTGTCTGTAGCCTTTTTTTCCCTTTCCTAGTTGAATTCATTTAATTTGATTCCTGCTTACTGGTATCAGACCTACTTCCTTATTAATTAATATTTGCACAGCACTTTGAAAAATGCAAATGGATTCACTGGTACAAAGTGTTAGCGAATCAGGCAGACTATTTTAGTTTATTACAGAGGTTTTAATGTTCTCACTACACATGTACTTTATCCCTCTTTGTTCTGTAAGCACTTGTGGTTACTAGTTTAAACCTGACAGTACTGATTGGCTGGCGGTGATTTGTACTAACAGCTGAAGAGTCTCCCATTTGTCAGTTTCATGGAAGTCTCCTGTCCTGTTCACTGTAAATTTACATTTTGGTCACTTGTCTTCTCTCTCTCTCTCTGTATATAGAAAAGCTTAGTGAAAAACTGGAAATCGTAGTTCAGCAGACATAATTTTGGTAAAACTTAAAAAACAACAAATAGTCTAGCAGCACCTTAAAGACTAACAAAACATGTAGATGGTATCATGAGCTAACAAACATGATATCATGTTTTGTTAGTCTTGAAGGTGCTACTAGACTATTTACTGTTTAAGTTTTTCCTGTTACAGACTAACTCGGCTACCCCTCTGAATCTTTTGATAATTTTGATAGTGCAGTTAAGTGCCGTGATTAGTTTGGTAGATTCAGTTTTACAGATGGAGATTTACTGTATCACTGGAAATATAAATGAACTATAATACAACAGTTTATCTTTTTGTGCACGTGCAGTAAGGACCAGAACATTCTCGGTTTATCCTTCACTGTGTTTCAGCTTCTCTGGCTCTGAATAAGATGATTTGCAAGCATAAATCAGTCTCACCACTTTCTGAAAATTGTTGGTTGTTGATGGCACAGATCAATTAAGTTGATTCATATTCATGCATAGAGTCTCTCTCTTTCTCTCAATAGCATATCATGTAAAATTAATTGACCATTTCAAATGGATTAGCAGTTGTAAATGTTGAATTAGAACTTTGTTAATGGGCACAGTGCTTCTTAGACTTCTTCATAAAGGGTATATGGAATGTCTCTGGCTAGCTAGATGGTCATTGATTAGTTACCAGCATTTAATATATAAACATTGAAACTGTGGGTAAGAAAGAAATGAGCATTAATTATATTGTAAAGCACTGAAATGTATTCAAAGAATAAATGTCATATAGTAAATATTAAAGAGCAGTTATACTTATTTCAGGTTATTATCAATGTGAATAAATAGTAGATGGTATATCCTTTGGATAGTGGTACTTAGTAACACTTGCTTTTACTGAAATGGGACCACTGTAGTGCAAACAGGACTTTGGTTTTTAAGATTGTATCTAAAATTGCCTGGGCTTCATTGCATGTTTGTAAACACTACTTATAGTGGCACAGCTGTACTGCTGTAGCTGAGCTGCTGTAAGGTCTCCCATGTAGCTAGTTTATGCTGATTGGAGAGAGTTCTCTCTGTCATAATTAAACCACCTGCAGTAGCAGTGTCAGCAGCAGAGTGTGTCTCACTCTGTCTATGCTGGTGTTTCTATCGGTGTAAGTTATGTCGGTCAAGGTCGTGTTTTTTCACGCCCCGAGTAGGACAAGTTTTACCAACCAAAGTGCTAGTGTAGATACAGCCCTAATTCACCTTTTTGGGATTTGAACTTTGTAGTTCTAGGAAGTGCAGTTATTTCAAGCTTGAAGGTTAACTATGATGCTTTAACAGTAGTAGTTGATGTTGCGTTGGGATCTATTTGCTACATGTTTTTTTTTTTAAATAGACACACAGACTGAGATCAAATACTGAAATATGCTGATAAAAATTCCATTAAAATAGAACAGTATTCTGTATTGAATGTTTGTTTTTATATTTTAATATAATTGCTTTAGTTCACATTTTGCTGGATTAAAAATATAGTTACTGAACAATGTGGCTACATCTAGACTGGCATGATTTTCCAGAAATGCTTTTAATGGAAAAGTTTTCTGTTAAAAGCATTTTTGGAACAAAAGCACTTTTGGCGGAAAAGCGTCCGTGCCAATCTAGACGCACTTTTCCGCAAAAAAGCCCCTATCGCCATTTTTGTGATCAGGGCTTTTTTGTGGAAAACAAATCTGAGCTGTCTACACTGGCCCTTGTGCGCAAAAGTTTTGCACAAAAGGACTTTTGCCCGAACGGGAGCAGCATAGTAGTTCCGCAAGAACACTGACAATCTTACATGAGATCGTCAGTGCTTTTGTGGAAATTCAAGCGGCCAGTGTAGACAGCTGGCAAGTTTTTCCGGAAAAGCGGCTGATGTTCCGGAAAAACTGGCCAGTCTAGACACAGCCTGTGTGTTCATTCAAATTTAGCTTCATACACTTTCTGATTGTAAGGATTGTAACTTTTTTTTTCAGATTGTTCCCTTTGTATACGCAAATTTCTGTCTTACAAAACTCAGTGTCCAACATGTTGTGTGGTAAGTGTTTTTCTTTTTTTTCTTATATAATGTTTTGGGCAAATCTTCAGTGTTAAGACCTTTTCCACTTTGGATCTAATCAGATGTGTCATGGTAGAATATACAGAGCTGCTTCTTATAGTGTTCATCTCAGCTCAGTATTTTTAAATGTGTGGTCCTCAAACTGAACAACTAAACTCTGCATGTAGACAGCTGTCTTAAACAAAAGCCGTGCTTTTTTTCAGAGGTGCTGAATGTTCACAACTCCCATTGAAGTCATTACAATCTTGGGGTATGTCTACACTTGCATCCTAGTTTAAACTAGGGATGCAAATGTAGGCATTTGAAATAGTCAGTGAAGTGGGGATTTAAATATCCTGCGCTTCATTAGCATGATCTCGCCGGCACATTACTCGAATCAACAGCTGTTTCGAAAGTGAAAGTGCATGCCGGGATGCGTTAGTTTGAAATAAACCCCTTGGTTTGAACTAATGTTACTCCTCAAAAAACGCGTCCTGGCACGCACTTTCACTTTTGATTGGAGTAATGTGTCAGCAAGATCATGCTAATGAAGCACGGGATATTTAAATCCCCGCTTCATTGACTATTTTGAATGCCTACATTTGCATCCCTCGTTCGAATTAGGGTGCAAGTGCAGACATACCCTTAGGCATCTTAATAAGTGTCCTATACAGATTTACACACTTGTGGGCATCCAAGTTTGAAAATGTTGCATGTATTCCGCAAGGGGCTGTTTAATTTTCTTCATGACCTTTGATCATTCCATGGTTCACATTAGGGATGTAAGCGACTAGTTGACTAGTCCCTTGACTAGTCGCTCCCTGCCATCCCCCTCCACCTTGCTGTCTCGATCAGAGACAGCAAGGGAAGGAAGGTGGAGCCAGTGCTGGCGGGAGCTGGCTTAAAACCAGCTCCCCCCAGCACCATCTCCACAGGGGTTGGGGGGGTATTTGGGGTATTGGGGACCAGGCACTGCACCTTTGCTTTTTAAATGTATTAAGAGCATGCCAGCTCTTAATATATTTAAAAATCAGAAGCATAGCAGGGGGAATAGCTGATTTTCCCCCTCGCCCCCCAGTACACACCATCCTTTTAAATGTATTAAGAGCCTACCAGCTCTTAACACATTTAAAAGGCAGAGCTGCAGTGGGGTTTGCTCCTGGGCTGGGAGCTAATCCCGCTGCGACTCCCCGGTTTATTGACTAGTCGATGGAAAATCTCTGGCTTCACGGCTTATTGACTAGTCGATAGAAAATCCATCGACTAGAAAATTTAGTTAAATCAACTAATCGAATATCCCTAGTTTACATTACTGCTATTTTAAGGCGACGCCGTCAGTTTGAACATGATCCAGAATTTAGGATTAGTAAAAATAAGCTTTTTACAAAATCTATAGCCAATATAAATGTTTTTTGATTGATTCTCTCCTTTTACCTCACCCCCTACTGAATTGTGGACAGTATGTTATATATAGAGCCCTATTAGCATTGGAAAAATGAGTCATGGATATTCTTATTGACATCCATGGATGTGATGCCTGCAGCTCCTCTTGGCTGAAAACAGCGAACTGGAGCCAATTGGAGTTGCAAAAGGCTACGGAGCATTTGGGTAAACAAAGCCATGCAGGTCCACTAGCAGCTTTCACAAATCGGGCCCGCAGCCCACTTTGAGAAACACTGCTAAAGCATAAGTTAGTCTAGATTCTTTTCAAGGCCAGAATTCAGAAAAATCTATTTGTCAGTTTTTTTGACATTTATACAAATACAGACTTCTGAGTGTATATTTCTGGACTGCACACTTTGTCTGTCCTTCTACTTTCTTAAAGCTACCATTGATTAATGTGAGTAAGAGCGAAGGAAGTTCTGGAATGGTAATACAGGAGAAAAATTAAAATAGAGAGGAAGGTTCTTTTAAAATAATGATATGTATGCAGAAAACTACCCCATAATGTGTATCTTTCATCCTATCATTATTCAGACTAGCACTTTCATTTTACTCCTTCTTGCTTAATGTTCTCATCACATCCTTGGGAGCCTACTTCAGTCTTCCAAAATGATTGGAGCTAAGGTACAATTAAGCATGGTTGTAGATTAGTGTTAATGGGCTTGGTCTTAGAACAAAGTGTTGTATTTATTTGTACTTCTGGCTATTAACAAACATTTTTGATGTTCATTTACCTCAGGGTCTTAGATAGTTTTCAGTAGAATAGTGATAGAAATGTAGCTGTGTTGGTCTGGTGTAGCTGAAACAAAATACAGGACTATGTAGCACTTTAAAGACTAACAAGATGGTTTATTAGATGATGAGCTTTCGTGATATCCTTTGGTATATATGGCTGTGACTATTTTCTTCCACTGTTTGATCTGAGGAAGTGGGTCTGGCCCATGAAAGCTCATCATCTAATAAACCATGTGGGCCAGACCTACTTCCTCAGATCAAGTAGTGGAAGAAAATAGTCACAACCATATATACCAAAGGATACAATTTAAAAAAATGAACACATATGAAAAGGACAATATGTTCATTTTTTTTTTAATTGTATCCTTTGGTATATATGGTTGTGACTATTTTCTTCCACTATTTGATCTGAGGAAGTGGGTCTGGCCCACGAAAGCTCATCATCTAATAAACCATCTTTTCAGTAGAAGGCATTTGTACTGCTTTTTATGCAGCTTTTTTGACGTAACAGTTTTGAGGGTTGGTGGTTGTGATGGAATCCTGTCTGAAATAAACATCTGAGAAGTAAATTATGTTTGCTTGAACATTGTTTACTTTTGTTCTTTTGTAGGCAGTCACGGAACCTGACTTGAAAAATAATCGGATATTAGATGAGCTGGTAAAAAACTTTAATTCTGCAAGGTATAACAGAATTTTACAACTATTATGTGCTTCCATGGTCAGAGATGTAGAAATCACTTGACTTCTTTAGCTCAGATTGCATGCAGTAGAGTGTATGTGTTTTGAGTTAGAAATCTAGGCCCTACGTCATAATGCAATAAAGACAACAAACTATTGAAAGTCTTCACATTATTGTATCTCATATAGTAGATTAATTAATTAATGAGGGTATATGGGCAGATGAATGCTTAATTTGTCATGTAAATGCTGCAAGAATTGACTAATGTTGAAAAAAAAAAAGGGCCTGATCGTAAGGCGCATTTTTTATACTTGTAGATGAAGTCAATGGAAGCTTATCTGGACAGAACATGCATTATTACAGGTTTTTATAAGGAACCCATCATGATAGCTGTGCACATAATTTGTCCTTAAGACAAAGATTGGGAGGAGGGAAAGTGTGTTTAGCTCTTCCATTTTTACAAATGATGTAGTTCCTTTCTGTTCAACCAAATTAGACCACCTTTATATTCCGACTTAAAAGCAGATGACCATTTAGAGAACTTTATGAAGAAATACCAGAAAAAAATAATTTCAGGCTATGTGATAATCTTTGCGAAAAATACTAGCATCTGGAATCTGTTTTAGTTTACATTGTGGTGCATCAACACAAATGCAAATAACAGTACATTTGCTTCTACCCTTTCATACTTAGATTCTTTGCACTTATTACCTGAGCCAATCCCTACTGAAGTCTATGGGAGCCTTTACATGGATTTCAGTAAGCTTTTGACTAGGCCCTTCATATTTAGTAGTGTTGCAAGATACTTGGTAACAGTATTAGAGATTCTTTATGCTTCTTCAAAGATGTTTGTAGTTAATTTTATACTCAAGTTTACTCTGACCTGTGACCTCCATCCTAGTCAGGTTTGCTTGAAGTTGATAATGGTACTGTAATTACTGGAAGTTGGAACTCATAATTGTATCCTCCACATATTGGTCTGAACAATAGAGTGTTGGTTATGTCTAGAAACTCAGTTAAATAGTAAAAACTGCACACAGACGTACTATACTAGAAAAGGGCATGTATGTAAGTTAATGGTCTTTAGTTGAATGATTGTTAAAAATTCAGTAGAAGCACCCAAATGGATATGTTGTGTGTAGAGTTACAGCATAATGTTATGATTCTAAAATGATTATTTATGGAACTATAAACATTGACACAGTGAAAAGCTGAGAGTGAAATCCATTTACCTATCGGATGCTGTACTAGTCTTTAATTGTTAGGGTAAGTTCAGTGAAATAAATAGAATAAATACTATTTCAGACTCTTTTGACACCTTTAATAAATGAGTTAATCCTTTCCATAATGTATAATGCAATTGAACCTCAGGCTTTTCCTAACACTCTAAGGATGTCTACAGCACACAGCTTTGGGCAGCAAGGTTGTGTCAATACAGCCTTGTCTCTAAAAGTCAGCTTGTGTGAATGCTGTTTGTCGGCACTTTTTTGCCGACAAAATACTTCCACCCCAACAAGGGGGTTTCAATTGCTTTGGAGGAGAGCATTCC